AATCAAAAAAGTTATGTCAGCCTCAGGACAGCCTAGGCCCAGGGAAGGGGACACCAGGAAGAGCAGTTGAGCCTCCCTGGGAGCACAGGCAGAAATGCAGGCAGGAGCTTTGGAGGGGGCTGCCAGGCTGCCCAGGCTTCAAAATATTCTGTTGCTTCAACAGTTTCTATTTTCTTTGAGCATTGAATGTTTTTGCAGGAGAGGGGGGAAAAAACTCCGAGACAAAAAGACCGATATTCTCGCTAAAAGCAGACCCAATGGAAAATTTTCAGCCAGCCCTATTGAGTACACCAGGGCATGCTTTACTTTTTGCCTTGCATGATTACCTCTTTCGTTAACATTCGAGACAGGCAGCAGGCAGAGATAAATCCTGAATAGCTCCAAACTTTGCTTCTCCCATCTCTCCCAGCGTTAGGCTGGTTCAGACAAAGCCTGTGCTGGAGGCTGGCTGCAAGGAAAGATGTTTTGATTACCATAGAAATAGGGGCAGTGCAATCCCCAAAGAGCTCAGCTCCTGCACATTCTCCTCCGAGCATGAGCAAATCCATGTTTCACCAGCAGGCTGGGATGCCCTGTTATGAGAGCAGGTCTTTGGTGGCTGGCACCAACAGAGAAAGTCACAGCATGTGTTATGTCCATCAACTCAAGACAATTTCAGAAGGATGTGAACATCCTTGAATGTATCCCAAGGAGGGTAACAAAGGTGGTGAAAGGGCTGGAAGGAGTGTCCTGTGAGGAGCAGCTGAGGACTTTGAGCATGTCTCGTTTGGAGAAAGCGGGTGCTGAGGGTGTTGCTCTCTACAGATTCCTGAGGAGGGGAATTGGAGAGGGAAGTGCTGAGCTCTTCTCCCTGGTATCTAGTGACAGCACACATGAGAATAGTTCAAAGTTGTGCCAGGGGAGGTTTAGACTTGACATCAGGAAGCATTCCTTTGCAGAGAAGGTGGACAGGCATTGCAACAGGCTTCCTAGGGAGGTGGTTGATGCATCCAGCCTATCAGTGTTTAAGGGACATTTGGATAGTGCCCTTAAAAACATGCTTGAACTTTTGGTGAGCCCTGAATCAGTGAATCAGTGTTGGGCCCAGTTCTGTTTAATATCTTTATCGATGATTTAGATGAGGGCATTGAGTCCACCATCAGCAAATTTGCAGATGACACTAAGTTGGGGGGGAGTGTCGATCAGCTGGAAG